ATGGCCCATGCAGTACAAGGAAGTCCCTCAGGCTACTGCTCAAGTGGGTCCACAGTCCTGGATCATCTAGATTTAAGGAATTAAACTCAGCAGCACTTTTTCTTGCGCCTCCACCACACTCTTCTCTGATCTACACTTTTCTTCAGGAATGTGCATGGTTACATCCATTTGAGATGGAGATATGGATGCTGCAGTAGCTGCCAGGTCACCTGCACTCTGACTAACTGGAAGATCAGGCATCTCCTCACCATTCACATCCTCACTGGGGCCGGAAGGCTCACCATGAACATTTGTGTCTATGTATCTCAGGAGAGCTCCTTCCTGCTTAGATAGAAAAGCTTCCTTTGCTTTCTTCCTTTTTCTGAATGCTGCCCCAGAGGGGCGTTTTCTTCTTTCACTCATGACTGCTGTTCTGTGCCAGCTATAGTGGCTCTCAACACTCCATTGAAGGGGACAAATAAGCAGGCTGGTAGCAGGGCCCGAGTGAGGGAAGATATCAGCGTCTTAAGGGCCTAACTGGCTCCTACTACTTCAGTTGACTGCCTGTTCTCCTCAAGTGGGTTTAGGGAAGCAGCAGGAAACAGGAAGCCCCCTGAGAAGCTGGTATTAATCAGTCCAGGTTCCTGGGGGTGCTAGAGAGGTACATAAGAGGCTCCTCCTCCTCTCTCCCTGTAGTTCCTGCTGCTTCTGTTATTCCCTCTCACCTTTTCTCCTGCCTGCCTGTTATGTCTCTTGTGCCCTCCTTCCTCCAGCACAGCACTCCACCATCTCTCTGCATCTAGAGCAGAGAGAATACATATGTACCAGCAGCAGACATAATTTTCTACACTCTGGTCTACACGACCGCCTCAGTTTGCCTCATGGTAGGGCCAGCCCTGGCCAAAGGGTGTTTTGAAGTCCACTCTGTGCGAGCTGCTGCAATGAGACATAGGGCAGTATTAATGGGATCTTGAGAATGTTTAGCAGCAAGGCAAAACCAAGCTGTGAAATGGTGATTTTCAACAGTTTATAGCTTGGCTGAATCTGAATGGATTTTAAAGAGGCCAGCAAAAGGCACCTCCCTGTTCCTAGCACTATTCCTCAGCCAAATTTCAAAGTATTGCTTCAAACCATGGAAGCATAATAGCTCCTCAGAAAAAGATTATGTTATGCTGGAGTGTGGTGGTGGCTATGGTCTTTGATCTATAGGCAATCACAGACCGCTTTGAGGCTGATGTATATGCTCACCAGCCTTCATTCAGGATAAATGTAAGAAGCAATAAAGATCCTTTATGGAGTAAAATAGATGAAACAATAGAAAACACTGCCCAAGGAACTAGGCCAAATGCAAGACTGATCAGAAGTGATCTGTGTAGTTAGGGAGAGGGGGGTAGATGGGGGATGATTGCAAAGACAGGCTAGGTGTGTCAGAAGCAGATAGGACAGAAAAGTCAGAAGAGAGTCATTGAAGCACTGGTAGCATGGCCCTGGAAGAAGGAAAAAGAGAGAGCTGCCTGGAAAGGGGCTTGGAATTGTGAGCAGGAAAACAGGACTTTGTGTACACACTTTGTAAAGGATGTTAAATAGGATAGGACCCAAAAATACCTGACTATATCATCAATTTCTCCTCTGAATGAAAACAACCCACAAGGCCCAGAATATTGGCTGACTGTTTAGGCCAAAAGGGGCAACAGTCATAAGAGTTTTTATAATGTAAAATGTTAGGCAACCTGAATATAGGGGTTGCTGCTGCTCCTCTAAAATGGGACAGATTGCAGCCATACTCATCTTTAATGCAGAGTTACAGCTCATGGAGGTTATGGCCAACATTTTCAAAAGTGGATACCTAAAGTCAGGTTCCCAAATCTATATTTAGGCATAGAATCATAGAATATCAGGGTTGGAAGGGACCTCAAGAGGTCATCTAGTCCAACCCCCTGCTCAAAGCAGGACGAATTCCCAACT